AAGAAAGAAAAAGAAAATGAGGAGCTCAGACTTTATTGCTTTATTGCTAGAATTGCTTTAATCCCTTGAACTTTTCCACATTTGATCACATAACAACCTCAAACTTCAAGGCTTTTCATTGGGTTTTATGGGATGTGTGTGATGCTCATATCCAGAGTTATGCTGTTTGCAAAACAGCATAACTCAGACAGACAAAACAGAGAGACCACACAGGTTGCCACTTAGATTTAGACTAGACGGTCATGGTGAAACTGTTCTAGTTTAGCTCTGACTGGATGTTCAAAGCTCTGGATGCATCTACTTCGTTTCCTTTCTGTACTGTCATGCGTTAAGCTTCAAACATCTTAATGCATGATGCTGCCACCACCATGTGTCACCATGTTTTCAGGGTGGTGTAGAGTGTTGGTTTTACACCACACATAGGTGTACAGGGCAAAGAGTTAAACTGTGACTTCAGGTTTTCTGATTGGATGTGGTCTGACATGTGTCGCAAAGCGGCTTCCTGCGTTCAAGATGCAGAAAGGTAAACAAAGCACACAGGAAAGACCTGAACCTAAACTCTACACTTCACGTTTTTTTTATTTTTTTAGCGGTTTTTTTTTTTTTTTTTTTTTTGGGGGGGGGGGCAAATATTGGAGTAATATGCATATCTTAAGGCTCGAAAAATTTTATTGCAAAAAGAGTAGAGCATCAACATGCAAATTTTCGAGAACTAGACTCGTTTTTATATGTACTCTCCTCCGTTCACGCTCATTTTAGATAAAATGACAGGCAGTAGAAAGGTGAATCATTGATTACTCAGACTATTGGCTCAGGTCAAGTCGGGACACAACGAAGCGTAGCAAGGTTTGCCATGCCTTACAGCGTAAAAAGCATCAAAAATAAAACTCACCCAGTTCGCCATTGGGAGTACAAATGTGCGAAAACACGTTGATCCCCGAATTGGGTGTTGGCTCCTCGGCTGTGAAAAATCACGATAATAATATTAATAGAATTACATGTACGAGGAGGACAGCGGTGATTTAGACGGTGACAAGCGGAAAAGAAAACATTTCAACCCCCCCATACCTTTGAAGAAGTCCATATCTTTCATCTCATGTGAGGAAGGCGAAGACCCTGAAGTCGGCCGTCGCGCGCTCGAGTTCAACCCGGATGAGTCCAGGAAACGCTCCTCTGCTCTCGATCAGGAACCTGTCAGTGTGGGTTTCAGTCTAGTCCCCAGCACGAAGTCAGAGCACTGCAGAGGTGTCGAAGAGCCTCGAAGACATGTGAGCAACGCCGAGAGAGATGAAGTTCAGTGTTCTTCTCTGATTGGCCTGCCGCGCTTCGCGGAAATCCCCCGAGCGTCGCGTCACCTCTCCTGCGGGAAACCCCCCCTCCTGCTCTGTCCTGGAGCAGCTGCAGGTTTTACAGCATTCAAGTCTGTAGCTGAATTGGCTATTAAAGCGTCTTCAGCTCAAAGTAGACCTGACACATAACCTTTTTTTTTCTCCCTCTCTCTCCATAAGATAATCTGAGCTCATGTCTTTTCACTTTCGGATTCTCGCTTCGGATCTCATGCAAAACTATTTGAAAACCAAATACATTTCAAGCAGCAGGCTGAGCCAACACTTTTAATATTTCTTCTGGTTGCATCAGCCTCTGATCCCACTTCCTTCACACAAAAAGAAAAGTGTAAATTTCTGATTTGCTTCACCAATAACCTCTCTGCACGTTCAGTAGCTTCCCCCAAAGGTGACGTGATTAATCGTGTGTTTTGACAGCTTTTTTTTTTCCACTCAGAGTTTAGGAGGCAGTCATTGTTTTTTTTTTTTTTGTGGGGGGAGCAGCAGTGACACCTGCTGGTCGCAAAGAGAAAAGATGATTTAAAGGAAAAGGAAAACGAAAGCAAGGCGTTTAGAGGAAGCAGTGACTCAGCACATGCTCCCAAATCCACTGTTGCAGGATCGCCCATCCTGATGCTTTTACACAATAGGTTTCAAAGTACAATTTCGGTAATAAACAAGTTGCAAAATAGGTTTTTAAAGCAATACAAGCCTGCACAAGAGAATCAGACATGATCAGATTATGAAACCCCGCTACTGGTGTGCAGATTACAAGAATATCTACAACTACAGCTACAAGCAAGAACTGTAACCACCATGTAAGGCTCAAATTTATTTATAAGACTCATCAGAAACTTCACAAAAATGTTTACTAAACCTCTTCTGAAGTTTTAGTATTATGTGTACACAACACAAGCCCGAATTTCTGTCAACCTCACCTCTGTTTACACCTGCAGCACCACCCATGCGGGTGTAAATAAATGGCTGTCTGATATTTAAACATAGCAAGGCAGAAAATATAGACGTAAATATTAAAACGAGGTCATTTGGGCCTTTTAATTGTGAGTTAAATGCTCCATCTAGGGTGGAATGATTACACAGCATTCAACTGTAATATTTAAAAACAAGAATTGGCTGCACAAGTCAGGATTTTGTCCAATCCATGCAGGTTTAAAATTAAACAATGCCTTTTATGCCACACCCTGCTAACAACTTTTGTGGCCATTAACAAGGTTTAGGCATAATTCTGCAGGATTTGTGACGCCTAATAAAAATGGTACAGATCATTTTGTTTCCTGCGGGCTCAACTTTTGAACATGGTCCATAAATCCTAAGCTTGAAGTCAGGGTTTTCCTCAAGTCTAATGATGGCCTGTTTTAGTCTTTTCACACCTAGTTTTGATGTGTTTTTTGGAGCCTTGCTGCAACACCCACAGTGGCCAAGTTTCCTTCATGAAGCTGCTGATTGGAGCTTATTTTATTTACTTTGTACAATGCAATACTAATGCTGGTAGCAAAACACACACTGCAGTGTGTGCTTTGCTACCAGCGTAATGCTGACCGTTGTTGGACCGTTCTTGGGTTTCAAAAGTGTCGCTTCATCTTTTCCAAAAATGTTTATGGAGGTAAAATAGTTCAATCTTCACTTCCAGATCTCAAATTCATTCATAAGACTCTCCATAAACCTTCCAAAAACTAGTATTTTTCCAGTGAGTGATGATTAGAATCAGATGACAATGAGTCCAAACTCCACAACTAGTTTTGGAATGGATGGATAAAGGAGCCAGACAGATTCTTATAATAAAAAATGCCTGAAAATTACATGTACAAATTGTTACTTTATGCTTATTTTATTTCCTCTGACATTTATACACATACTTTGTCTATATACAAAGTTTGGAACCAAAGTCTCATTACTTTTTGATGCAATTTAGTTACAGCTGATTTTTGTGAAACCAACCAATTTATATGAACGCTACCAGTTCTGCTAAAAAGACTGGGTCAAACATTGAGCTAGAAATGTACAGGAAGCTTGGCGATGGCTACAGTCTGGAGTCAAGAATCAGCTGGCAAAGGCCCAACTAGGACTGGGAGTGAATGTGTACATGCCAATCTTTAAGGAAAATTCACTTCAGTAACATAAGTCAAATTTTAAACCCAATTATTGTTAAAAGTTACGAAGCATAAGGTGACTATATACACTTAAAGGTGTACAGTCACTGTAACTGTCTATATAACGACAGTGGAGCTCATCAAGAAGCAAACTGGCTTTTTTTATTACAATATGTACATTTTAGTCATTTATCTTAAGTGAAACTATAAGAGATTAATTGAATAACTTTGCTGTGATTGCTCAACCTATGTCAGGACCGACTAGCTTAAATTTTATACCAGTTTCAAAGGGTCAGTATAAATACAGCCGATTTTTCTAAACATTTAATATTTTATTTGCAAACAGAATGTCTATTAGCCGTCATCTTTAGGCTGCAGGAACCTGACTGCTGGTTACCGTCGTTCTGCAGACATACCAGGATAATAAGGGATGACAATTTAGAGGATTAAAAACGGGCTCATAATGTGGATGTTTTTAAAATACACAAATTATATTTCCTTCAATATAATTAGAAACTAATAAAAGGCAGTTCCATGCAAAAAAATAATAATAATAATTGGTCTTAAACACAAAATTAGAAGTAAAATCTGAAAAACAAAGCATTGCATAGACATTTCAAATCACACTTAAGTCTTTACTATAAACATGGATGCTCAAAAATTTAATATGCACCAACATGGAACCCTTCTCTTTTGATTTACAGAGCTTAAAAAAAAGAAAGAAAGAAAAACAAGAGACACTGTAATTCTGTTAGAATGCATCTGACGTTTCCTGGTTTCCTGGCTGCTGTGGTGATTTGGTGAAGATTAATGAAAAAAAAAATCAGACATCAGGCTGATGGGACACATAAAAATCAGGCTTCCAACTCATTGGTTTCTGAATATTTTGGACATTAATTATTAACATAAGTCTGTACAGTTTAAAGGAGATACAAAAGAATGTTTCAGTGACTGCAAAACAAGATTAAGTCATCAATATTATCAATATTTTATATTAATACCAACAAGGCTGTTATTTTTCTTTTTTTTCCTCTGTGTTCAAGTCTAGAACATTAGCCATTTTTAAAATTGAGTGTAGTAGTCATTGTCTGGCGGGCAGCGCACCCCGCGGGGTCGTCCGTCGAGTCTCCGGTCGCCACGTCTCGTCCTCCAGTGTGGCTCAGGACTTTTCCAGTTTCCTCCAGCACTACACACAAGTTTCTAGGCAAACCCGAAACACAGTGCTCACATGGAATGAAAAGGAAAAAAAAAATTCACAAGGAATCGACACAAAGAAAAGTTGCACTTGGACTCTTTCTTCCCTGTTTAAAAAGTAAAATGGAGGAAAATCTGGCAACTGTTCCCCTTCCAACATCTAGCCGAACACATCGTCACCCTCCGGAAAGAAATCTTACAGAATACAGTACGTCACGTTTTGTATTACTTCACTTGAACTGCAAAACGAGAGGGCAGGGGAGGGTGGTGGAACAGAAATGAGAATTTACCAAGTCTACACTGAATAGGACTCTCTGCGGATCCACAAAGAGATCAGAAGGAACAGTTAAACTGCAACTTTTTTGTTTCTTTCTTTTTTTTTGTTTTTTTTTTTCTGTAGTGGCGTCCATTAAACAGCTAAACGACCACTCCGCTCCCTGCACTAACTTTCACAAGTCCTCTTCGCCCCGGCGGTCGGAGCCACGGGAGAAGATAAGAGCGGGGTCGTTTTTAATCGTTCTTTTTCTCCCCCTCTGGTTTGTCTGTGACAGCGGGCGTGGTCTCTGCGGTGTTGTTCTGGGTGTGGTCCAGTCCGCTGGTGCCGAATTCATTCATTCTGTTGGGGTCGACCCGGTAGATCCAGCGCTGGTAAAGGTAGATGAAGAACACCACGTCTGCAGGAGAGGAGTCAGAAGTCGGGTATGTCAGTGAATCAGTGCGGCTCAAAATTAGCAACACGTTTCAGAGAGCATCATCAAAAAACAAAAAAACAATATTTCAAAAAATTTAAATTATACAACAAATAGTTGGAGTTTAGTTTTGAGGCTTTTCTGTTCTCATAAGTATGACCTTTAATATCCAAACTACCAAATACGTTGCCCCATAAAAAGTTTTCCAAATGGTCACACTACAACCACAAACTGCAGTGTAGAATCTGCCAGCAGAGCAACTAGTAGTTGGACTCGCCAAAATTTTGAACTTTGAAAGTGGCAAGAAAAAAATGATGTTAACAAAAAATAAGCATAAGAAGTTAAGTTTGCCACCATGTGCCTTTTATACAAAGTGATCACTGCAGTGGACAGCTCTCTAAAAGACGTTTTCTTGAGCTTCTTGTGCTACATTTTTATGGTACAAAAGCACACAGACCACTGAGGTGGACACCAGTGCATCATAAAATACACCATCAACTACTGGCCATCAGCTGCAAGGCCAAGAACATTTTTGTTAAATCCAATATGGCAGACAGATGGAAAAGCATGATGACCAATCCAGGCCCTCCTTCAACTGTAGACGACTATTACAGGTTAATATATATATATATATATATATATATATATATATATATATATATATATATATATATATATATATAAAATC